TTTTATTGAATGGAAGCCGTGTGATGCAAAAATTAAGTCTTTAATTAATGAAAACCTCCACCACTGGATCATGGTACTGGTACAAAGAGATTTTTCATTAGTGTAGACATCCTCTTATTGTTCCACAGCTCCTGTGTCTTCCATGTAATGAAATGGATTGCTGGTGAGTTGGACAAATCATGGGACAGAGGGAGGAATTATTTAATTCCCAAAAACCATTCCCTGTTGGTGACATTATTCCCCTTTCATAGGTGTCTTACACAACAGGATTTTGGCCATCCTTTGCAGAGTTGCAGCAGTAGGCCACTGTTTTATGTTAATGAAAACAGAGAATGACTTAAAGTCTACCTGAAAGCATGATGATTATGATTGGCATAGGCAATAGTGAGGAATGATGGGCATTAAGTCCAACAATGTCTGGAAGGCCACGATTGCATGCTATTGTTTTGTATTCCATGTCAAATGAGATTATATCCTACTTCACTTTGAGCAGTACAGAAGACTCACCCTACTTCTAAGAATCTATCTGCAGCCCAAAGAGCCACCTCGGACTTTATAATGAGTATTGACTCATTGCCTTCCTCTTCTAGATAGTAGTTTCAATACAGGGAACTTGAATTGCAGCTACAGATCTCTGGAAGAATTTATTTGTTACATTACTATTATAAACAAGCAGAATAGTCTTTCTAGATCACCAAAATGATCCTTCTTCTGCAGATTGTGGGAGGCTCGTTAGTCTGTATAATGTGGACAATTTTCTAAAGACTAGCATTAGTAGTGACACATTAAAAAATACTTCTACATTTATGCAATAATACTTCTACATTTGGTTCTCATGCAAATTATGATGCCAGAAATCTAATTAATCTTCGTCTATACAGAAAAGGGAATGGAGACTTCAAATTATGACTAATCTAAAGATCTCAAATGGTTTCAATATTTTATTTTTCTCAAAAATGTCAGGTTTTAGTTTGAAGTTTTAACATCCTGTCAATTGAGTACAAACTGCACAAAGCAGTTGTGATTCTATGCCAAATGTCTCGCTCTTCTCTTGCCTGTTCAATGTGAATTAAATCTTAAACACCAAATGTTGTCTCTCCTAAAACACTGAAGAGGATTAATAAATAAGAGAACACCGGCCACAATCAACACCAGACAAAGTCATCCTTGCCAATTTGCTGCTTATTTCTGTGTGTGGTCTGAAGTGTTGTCTGGGAAAAATGTGCATTTTTAAGTCCTGAGAGAAGTCCTGCCAAATGTTCTCACCAGCAGATGTCTCTGTTACTCTCACCTACCAACAAGCCCTGGGTAAAAGAGGAGCGAGAGCTGCAGCTTCTATTTTAGATGGGTATCAGAGAGCCACAAAGCCCTCTCTGCTTTTGTTCATCTGCCCATGATATTTCCAAAATAAAGTGGAAGGAAGGAAGGAAGGAAGGAAGGAAGGAAGGAAGGAAGGAAGGAAGGAAGGAAGGAAGGAAGGAAGGAAGGAAGGAAGGAAGTCGGGCTAGATTTGGATGTCAGTTATATTAAAACATAGGCAATATTCTCAGATACAGTATAAACATACAGATGTTGAAACTTGTTTATTAAAACAAACTTGTTTATAAAATGACTCAGATGTTCTTGAGATCATATATGGCAAATTCTGCAATTAAAATAGCATACTCTGCATACAAGATGGAAGGAAAAACTGCCGTTTGTAAAAATTGGAATTGAAGACATTTCCCTGAGCGGATTTTAATTGTCCCAAGGTAATACACAATGACTTTTGAAAGAAAAACCCACTAAGATATGGGCCAAGCCAGGCTCAGGTAAATGCTAAACAAGGCATGATCAAATATTGTACATACAAAGATGCCTGTTAGTCCATGTGGCTTAATGTTTTCTGCTCTGAATGTAGCTCTCCAGTGTACCTGTGAATATTTGCATGAAAAGCATGGGCACTGGATCAGAGTGAACAAGCTGTGGCCTGATGACTATTTGCAGCCTTTAGCCACATTTGAAAAGCCATATCTCTGCAAGAACAATACAGTATGTCCTTTTAACAACAGCCCCCTGAATGGGGAGATAGAAGGACAGAGAGAATAGTAGCAGAGAGGCATTGGGCTCTGGTCCTTAGGCTTCAGCTCCATCCACTGCCAAAATATGTTCTCTGACTTACTTCCAAAGCAATGCTGCCCTCAACTGAAAAAAACATAGCCCGACCTCTTCAGGACTGTATCTCTTGCCCAGGATGTAAGCGCTGCAGTCTTAATTGAAGAGGACTTCTGCACTTCAGTATGCCACTAAAATTGCATTGGACTTAGCACATTTCTAATCAATTCAAAAATATATGACTGCATAAAAGCTAAGCAAAGGAGACCACTCCCTCCTCCATCATCTTTTTCTTTTTGAACACTCATCAGGAGGTTGTTTATTTTACATCACTTTGCATCGTGGCCTTTTTTTACATTGTGCAGTTGGCAGAGTTACTGTGTTCTCTGTATGGGGGCAGTTCCTGCTATGATGTGTGGGTTGACATTTTTGATGTATTGAAGAGGTAAGGTGGCACAGTGTCATCTTGCAATTCTTTCCCTTCTGTTTATTAGCAAGAAAATATGCCAAGCTTTACATAGCAAAGGGCAGCCTGAATGTTGGCAACACTAATTGCAGAAGTCAAGATGGTCTACAGCAGTGGTTCTCAACCTTGAGCCCCCTACATTTTCTTGGTCTACAACTCCCAGAAATTTTGGCCAGCACAAATAGCAGTGAAGACATCTGGGAGTTTTAGCCCAAGAACATATGGGGACCCAAGGTCGGAAACCATCAGTCTACAGGATACCCTTTTGTTGTCACTACCATTGACACTTTTGAAAAGCAGCTCTTATAATTGCTCTGTGTTTGGATGAGAAGGGGTTTACTATGAAAAAATGAGTCAGCTTCTGGGATTTTCCCTTGCTCGGTGTGAGTTTCTGAGTGATAGTTAGCACAAAAGGGTATTCTGTAGACCAGGGATCCCCAACCCCCGGTCTGTGGCCATGGCAGGACCGGGCCGCAGAGACAGATCTCCCGCCACCTGCATGCACTCCCCCCATGCACTCCTCCCACATGCACAGCCCACCACCCACACACATGGGTGCCCCACCCACCTGAGTGCACCCCCTTTGCACATGCACATGAACACATCCCTCCCCTCTGTGAGCACGCCCCACCCTTCTGCGCTTGCATGCAAGCACACCCTTTCCCTCTACGAATGCGCCCTGCCCATCCGTGCATGTGAGTGCACCCCACCCATCTGCGAGTGTGCCCCATTCTCCTGCAAACGTGGGGGGTGCCCCCTGCACACAGACCCCACGCCCAACTGGTCTGCGATTCAGAAAAGGTGGGGGGCCACTGCTGCAGACCATCTTGATTGCTGCTAATAATGTTGTCAACATTTAGACTGCCCTTTGCTAAGTAAAACTTAGCGGGGTTTTTTCCTGTTGGCAACACATGTATGATAGCAATAAGGGGCCATTTGCTGGTGTTTTGAATCATGGCTTGGCTAGACTTAGCATTTTTTCCCTGTTGGCAACACATGTATGATAGCAATAAGGGGCCATTTGCTGGTGTTTTGAATCATGGCTACAGAAGCATAATATCGCATATTCATGAACTAGAGATTTTGTTCTCTCTGTGTGTATTTGTGCAGGGGGTGCTGTGGTGTTAATTTAACATACCCATCAGAAAGCAATTATTGTTTTTACTAAAGTGGGAAAATAAAAATGATGGTGATACATCAGAGCATGGCAATTGTCCTCTATTGCTTCAGCATCTAGAACTAAAGCAACTTATACACAATCTGGACCAAGAAACTCATTAAAAAATTGGGTACACCAATCCAGCTCTACAGGGACTGGAAGGACTGAATGGGGAAGCATCTCTTTCTGTCAATAAACATTAACTTGGTTAATTCACACTTAAGCAAATGTACCAGCCTACCAGCAGGCCGCCAAATTTGTTAACAGCCTATCTGACAGACTTGCATACCTGCCTACTTCACTCAGAGCAGTAAAACAAGAAATGAGCATATTTACATAAAGTATAGCTCAATGGCTTAGGTCTCTGGCTGCTAAGCTAGAGGTTGGGAGTTCAATTCTCCTCTGTGCCTCCTTGAGAGGGGCTGGACTTGATGATCCATAGGGCCCCTTCCAGCTCTGCAGTTCAAAGGTTTAAAGGTTATTATTCATCATTTTAACCCACTGTATTCAATGCCTTATTCTTATTACATATTGGAAGGCAAACTGACAATAAAACATGCCCCGATTCCTCTTCTAGAATAAAAACTATGTCAGATTGGGGCTGGGTACCTGTTTGTTCTTGTTTTCCTTATACTGAGATAGTTTTGGCATCAGGGATTTTTTTTTAAATTCCCTCAGACCTGAATAAAATGTTCCGTCAAATGAGTGGATCAGGAAATGTGTGCAAGAATTCTCCTATAATTTGCATTTTTATAAGAATTTTTTTTCTGGTGTCCCCACTGTTTCCACAAACATGTCTTTCATTTGGTCTACCACCATTCTGTCTCGCAAGAGCTGCACAAAAAGTGTGTGTTTACAAATGCTGCTGGAACTAGGACGTGGGGAAGTAAAACTCCCAACAGGACACTTGTTTATCGCCCGTCTGTGGCATTTTTACGCCATCGCCAAAAGGCCAAGGCGTCCTCCTGAGAAGGATGACGTCTTGTATAGACGGCTGGTGGTTTTTTTTAGCCCTCGCCTTCGGGGACTCGTTCTGTTGTCTGATACAACAGCAGCCGAGGGGAGCACGCCATAAGTCCATGGGCGTCACGCGCCACACGACGCTGCAGCAACCGTCGCACCCGCACTGGCGCAGGCAGCGCGAGCAAGCGAGAAGCGCGGGAATCTCGGCTCGGCCGGCCTGGAAACAGAAACGTCAGGGATGGGCGGGGCTTGAGGGAGAAGGCCGGCCTGAGGGCGGGGCTTGGGGCCGGGCCCTCCTCGTCGCGGTGCTTGCTGCTTCGCGGAGGCGGCCTCAGGCGGGCAGGGGGGGGGCACTGGCGCAATAGGACGGCGGAGCTCGCTTTGGATGAGGAGGACCCGGCGCCGAGCTCGTGCGGTCTGGAAGTTCACGCCGGGCTCCCAGCTTCTTTCTGGAGGGCAAGCCTCCTCGCCTCTCTTTTCCTGCCCACCCCACCCGCGCCGCTCGCCCTTCGCGCCCTCCTCCTCCTCCTCCTCCGCTTGTCCGCCTTTTCTTCGCCCCGAGAGCTGACACACGCCGTGCAGATGTGAGCGAGCCTGGCCAGAGCTCTGCTGCAGCCGCTCCACCGTCAGCCCCCGTCAGCAACAGTGTCCCGCCGCTCTCTCGCCCCACCAGGTCCCAGCGGGAGAAATATGTGGCAGCCGGCAACGGAGAGACTGCAGGTAAGCAAGCGGAGGAAGCGAGAGAGTTCCTAGCTGTTTGGCGGCGGCGGCGGCGACTT